ATTTTTAGAAAAATTAGGATATATGACAATCAAGAATATTATAGTTAAGAATCTAACCACTAGGGTTGGACACGGAGCGGATAATAATAGTATTTATGATTCTATTTGTTTTTGTCCGATATTCAATTTTCCAATTTTCTTTGCTCGTCAAATTATTATGACGGTTTTAATTTGTTTCGAAGAGGTTGTGTCTAGTTATATATGCACTAGTTTTGGTTAAACTGTTTCATCAGAAAGATTTATCTAGAACAAAAGGTAATTGGATTTTTTTGCAAAAAGAAAACAAGATCTGGAGTTTATTTTCCGTTTCTTTGGAAGTGTGGTGAGATTTTTTTTAAAAAATAATGTGAACATACAGACAATGGTTTATTAGTAATCTCTGTTCTTCCGAGTTCAAAGAAACAAATAGTGCGCCTCAACATACAATGGTATGCCAAATAGAGAATTCAACTACATTAAACCTCTTGACCTATTGTACCATGGTTCTGACAAACCAAAGGTGTTGATTTTTTAATCCTAAACAACAAGATAATTGTTTTGAGTCTTGGACCATCGTATTTTTGTCCTATGCATTTTGATCTCGTCTGACATTAATTTATACGGTCCAATGTTGCATTCGGACTATCCATCCATTGGTCAAACATTTGACCTTCGTAATTCACGTGTGTTGTCTTTATTTGTTTTCTGAACAACATAACTGTGTAACTGGTAACATACATCTTGAAGAATGGTGACAATTAGTTACCATTTGCACTTGAAGAATATATATGACCTAGGTGACTTCCCGCATTGCACGCGGTTAAATATTTTTTAGAAATCAAATAAATTAAAAAATGTTATTTAGTTAAAATTTATAAATGATGTTCAATTTGAATTTAAGTTCAATTTTCTTTATATGAAATAATATCTTTTATTCTTTTTCGTTTGTTGACACTAATTTTATTTTCATTAATAACACTGACAATAACTTCATTTACAATTTAGTTAACAAAAAACAATTGAACATTGGATCCAATTTTATATCGTAATAACTAAGTAAGATTTTATCGTTTCTAAAAGGATCTCCATTTCTATTGATGTTGGAGTCTTGACTTTGTCGTTAATACATTACACTAAAATACTACCACTGTGTGTAAATTCCTTTTAAGCTTGAAAATTTGACAAAACAAAACACGACATATTGTGATCAATTGTGTTCAATATCCATTTGGTTAAAACCGTGTGAATTATTTTATTTTTGAATAACAATATCTAAAACGAAAATATTTACTATGAATAATAATTTTTTTTGTTATATTCAATTGCGAATTTGGACACTTAGATTTGATATTTTTTTAAGTTTACTTAAATTGTAAAGATATTCATTTTGATATTTTCTTATTTTCTTATAACTTTATATATAAAAGATGAAGTTTACTATAGAAATAGAAATGATCTATACCAATAGCTTAAAGAGTACTTATTTATTAAATAAATATGTACAACTCATATTTATTTCAATCGTATCATAAGTATAAATTATGTTAAATTTGATTTGTCCGAATATCTTAAGTAGAATTTATGATACAAATAAATTATTTAATATTTTAAAACATTAAAATATATAAACATAAATTTTATATCTGAAACACGGATTAAAAATGTTTTTTGTTACTTTCAAATTAAAAAATCTTTTTGTTACTTTCAAATTGTCTTGTATGAAAAAAAAAACTAAAGAATAATTATATTTGTTGTTATAATTTTGGGAAGTTTTTTTCATAAAACATATCAAAATTTCTTGAGAAATTTCAAAAAATACCACTTTTCAAAAATGCCACCTTTTCAAAATCTTTGCAAAAATACCACTGTTTCAAAAGAAAATTCATTATATCATTTATTTTTGGGTTCTATGTTGATTAGGGTTTAGTTTTGAGAAATTTACGGGTTTTAGGAGTCAAAACATTTTTTAGGGATTACAATTTTAAGATTTAGGGTTTAAAAATTTATAATTAGTGGCATTTTTGCAAATGAACACCCCTAAGTGACATTCTTGCAAATGTACACACCAAAAGTGGTATTTTAGCAATTGCCGCAAATTTATTTTTTGGTTAGTCTTTATTATTAATTTCAAAAATAATATATATTTTATTAAAAATTTTCTAGAATTTTATTATTACAATAATCAATTTCTAAATTATTTTTAAATGAGAAATAAAAATTTATATATAATTTTCGAATGAACAACGAAATATGATAAATTCAAGTATTTTTGTGTGATTAATTTTAGAGAAATTTTTAAAAATGTCACTTTTCAAGTGTCACTTTTCAAAAATGCCACATTTTCAAAAACATTTCAAAAATGCCACTTTTTAAAAAAAAATCATTATATCGTTTATGTTTGGGTTAACTATGTTGTATTAGAGTTTAAGTTTCAGGGTTTAAGGGGTTTTATGGATCAAAATATTTTATAGATTTTATAATTTTGAGATTTAGGTTTTAAAAATCCATAATTATGGGCATTTTACAAATGGACACTCCTAAGTGGCATTCTTGCAGATATACACTCAAAAGGTGGTATTTTTGCAACTGTCCCTTAATTTTAGTGGGTATAAGTTTTAGTGAACTAATTGTAATAAAAGAATAATTTTTTCTCATTTAAAAATGCGGTTAATTTTCATAAAATTTAATTAAAATAAAAAAAATTGAAAAAACACCTAGTTACATGTACATATAGTATTCAACTTATACACTTTATTAATATTTAGCTAAAGATATCAATATCTATAGCCATGTGTTATTGTGAATACAGCATTCATATTGTCTTCTTAGCC